AAGAGTAAGAGCTGGGTAGATGGGGGGCAGAGGTAGAAGGAAGATGATTATCCTATACCTTCGTACAGTTCCTTCATTTGTTTGAACCGTGTAAATTTAAGAATTACTCAAAAAAACTAAGTAATTTGATAAAAATTTTAAAAAATGCTAAAAGAATAAAAAGAAAATTTTGCCTTGATGATTTCTTCCATATATTTTGGTTTTTCACAACCCAATTTGGAGGGCTTATTTAGGTACTCTTTCCTCTATACGTTGCAGCTTCGTCGACATCCTCGTAATGTAGAAGAGGAAACCAAATATATTGAACTAATGATTGTGAATGATCATCTCATGGTAGGATTTGCTTTTGTTTGTTTTAGCTTGTTCATGCCTAGGTTAGAACTAGTAGGTGCAAACATGTGTTTAGAAGAAACAAGAAGACCATCAAATTGTAAGCTGGAGAAGCTATTTGTATAAACCAAGTATTTGTTAACCAGCAACAACCCAAAGTAGGCTACACTTTTAGGTGTAAGTAATAAGCAATAATTTATGGAGTTTCAAAATATCTCTCTGATTCATGATGCTAAATCTTGGAATTTGATTAAAGTAGATGCTAATGTTTGACTATCTTCTTACTAAAATAACAAGTCTAAGAAAAGTGGAAGTTTCCTCTTTATATTGAAAAAGTCAGTGAAGCATCAATCATGTGACATACTAGCTTGCAGTGTACAACTTTTTTCTAATAAAAGAAAAGCAATTTGGGGGCCAGCAGATAATGTGGTGGTTAAGGTGCTGGTATCCCACATGGTTGACTTTGACCTGGTGGCTTGAAAATCATGCCAGGCTCATGTGTGCATGTGCCCTAAATCCTGAGAGAAGAATGGAAGAGAAAGGACTATGGTGTGGCCACCCCTCCTGGGGAATGATGTCTCACTTTCCCTTTCTCCGTCTCTGTCTCTCTCTTTGCTGAGCACATGGGCCCTGTGGCAAAAACCTAAAAAAAGAAAAGAAAAGAAAAGCAGTTTTTCTTTTTCTGTCTTGCCATGCAGAAAACCATATGGAAATGGTACATAGTCTATCAGTGAAGTGTCTTAAGAACTTGGCAGAATTTCCTTCTTGTTGAGTAAAATTTTTTTGACCCATAGTGTGTGTATTCACTTTCTGGGCATATTGCATTCAATATGGTTATATTCATAGCACACCAATGAGTTAGAATGCTAATTGTTCCATGTAACCAGTTTTAAACTAAAAATGTTCTGTAGATGTTGCTTAATTTTACTTAATTTCAAGTACAAGTGCATCTTAGTTTACTTTGTGGGATTTATTTGAGGGAAAATGTTTAATTTATGTATTATTGCATAAATAATGTAACTGTTCTTAATTATTGTTGTTCTTAATAATACAATCAGGATTGAGTGCCGCTTTCTTGTTCAGGCTAGGTCTAAGTTTTATCTTTTTACCTATTCGAAGCCAGGGAATGTTACTGTACCCTGGAATTTTTATAAAATAAAGGTAAGCTGTAAGAGCATGTAATTTGAACATTTTAGATAGTCACAAATTTAGATGTCTATGGATGTCTGTAGACAGATAACATAAGTGAAGTAAACTTGGTATAAGACAGTAGGGAGGGGTGAGGCCTGTGGTAATAAGGAAGGCATATGGTGTGTCCAAAAGGAGCAGCTGTCTTTAAGTTCCTGCCAGTTTTTACCATGTGGGTATGCTAATTTTAAGTGAAGCCAGAAGTCAGTTTTTGCATAATATTTTCTGATTTTTGAAATACCATTGAGACCAAAAAAAGATACATTTCATCTACTTTTAGCCTATAAACCACCTCTTTAATATCCTTTGTCCTAGGATTTTCTTCTACTGAGTAAATCTTATAGAACTTGTAAATTTTTATACTTTTAGCAGTATTTATTTTCACTTTTTCTGGCTTTACCCTACTTAGATTTATATATCTTACAGTTCATAGAAAACATCCATGTGTTTTATCACGTTGGATAACAATTCTGATAAAAATAAACCTGTGGAATAGATGGGTACATGTGCTCACTGGAGAGAGGGAGACAGAGAGGGAAAGTGAGAAATCACCCCACCCCCACCCCAGGGGGATGGCCCACGCAGCAGTCCCTTCTTTTCCACTATCCTCTTAGGATTTTGGGCATGCACGAACTCACACACACCTGGCATGATTCTCAAGCAACGGGTCCAGGATTCGAACTGCAAAACTGGCCATGTGCATACCAGTGCTTTAACCTCTATGCCCTTTGCTGGACCAATATCTCAAGTTTTAAAGAGTGTTTCTTCAGGGTACATAGCAAAAAAAGACACACTCAACTCTACATTACAGAGGCCTTAGGAATTCTCTCATTACACCATGCTTTTTCTCTGCTAAGATGATTATTTTCTGATGATTTTTGTTTTCTTTTATTTTTCAGTTTAAAAAACATCGGCTTTCCTTCGTACATACAAACACCTATGCAAAATCTGTGGTGAACATGGCAGATGTAGTAAGTATCAACCTGATTCACTATCGCCCTAGAGGAATTTTACCTCCTAATTGCTAGTAGAATAAATAGATAGATGGTATGGTTTCTGTATTTTCACTACTCTAAGTTGCATGTTACCCCAGATGTCCTCTGAACTCCTGGTGACCTTGCCATGGGCTCTAATGCCTTTAATCTCTGGCTAGGGAGAGAAAGTGGTCAAAATTACCCTCAAATTTGCCTAAAATTCTTTCCTGTTTTTCATACTGTAAAAGACAAAAGTTGAGTTATAGCTGCTAAAGAAAAGTTATTTATTGGGTATTTCTAATGATGAACAATGTAAGGTGGCATCTTTTCCAGAAGTTTGTTTGGAACTGTCCCCATTGATGCAACTAAATAATCCCACCATATCCACTTTCCACATCTTCCCTCTACAAGGCAGTGCCAGTATCTTACCCCAGAGTTTAATTAGAGCCAGTGGATTGTTTAGAGACTAATTTCTTGGAGTCTTCATTGTTACATTTCTTACTAGGGGAACTGAAGTATGCATGCCTTCTTTATCCCAGGTGCCAGCAAATGGACTCAGGGGAGCCTGAATAGGGTGCAAGTCTTGTCAAAATGGGATCTTTTGTTTCTAAAAAAGTGCCCTGTTCTTTGAATATTGCTTGGTAAACAGTCCAATTTTCTATTACTCAAGGGGACTGCATATAAATTAGAGAAAGAATTCTTTCTCTTAAAAACAGTAACATTTCTTACCTTTAACTAAAACTCAATGAGTTTCTGTGAAAGGAAATTTGTAGTCCTGTTCATAAGCTATTTGACTTTACCATGTGTACAGCTAGTATGTTCATTTTGTTAATATACTAGATATATAAAGACCAACTTAAGACAAGGATAGTATTGGTTGCCATGGAAACCTGGGCGGCTGACAACAAGTTTGCCATATCTGAAAATCCATTGATCACCCTACGTGAGTTTATGAAATACAGGAGAGATTTTATCAAAGAGAAAAGTGATGCAGTTCATCTTTTTTCGTACGTAACTTTTGTAATGATTTATTATTATTTTTTGGTTTCATGTTGAATGCTCTATTGTGAAAGAGATGTACCCTTACTAGTACATAATACAATTAGAATTTGACATGGCAGATACATTTGGAAGAAGTTTTAAAGTATGGATTGTTTGAAGTTGTTATGAAGGTCTAAGAGATTTACTTTTGACTCGTTTCATTGTTGAATGTCTTTTTCATGTAATTTTTCAAAAGATTTAATCAGTGCATTTACTGTATAAACATATTGCAGATATTCATCCTTAGTAACAGACAAATTATATTCTTTCAAGAGTATTCTTAATAACAGATGATTTATATTCTTTAAAGTTGCTGTTTTTGAAATTTTAATATTCTCTCTGGTTTGGTCTTAAGAAAAGAGCTTATATTTCTGCAGTTTGTTTTCAATTTTTTCTCACTTTTATGTTGTTTTTCTTTCTTTTTTGGTAACACATATTTGATGTAATAGCAAATTATAGATAGTAGCATTTTAAAAACCTGTCATCTAAAGCCAGAACTGTTGAAGAAAGTTATAAATAGAAAACAATGAAAATTATAAATAGAAAGCAATGAAGTATTTGGGAAATAACTTTTATTTGTATATAATTTCAAATTTAGAGAAAAGTTGCAAGACAACTTCAAGGAAGTTGCATGTCTTTTACCCAGATTCATCAGTTATTTACATTTCTTATTTAATGTCTCCTTCTTTCTTTCTCTCCTTTTTTTTCTTCTTTCCATCTCTCCATTCATTCATCTATCCATCCATTCATCTTTGATTCTTTTTTATTTTTCTGAGCCTTTTGAGAGTACGTTGGAGACTCTTACTTAGCATTTCCTACTGAATGCTTCGGTATATATTCTCTAAAAATACATTTTTATATAGTAAATTATTAAAATTATAAAATTTTACATTGACAATGCTTTCTTGTGATCTGTAGTATATAGCCAAGTCTCATCAGTTGTTTCAATAATGTCTTTCATAGCTAATTTTTCTCGAATCAAGAGTCAATTCACGGTCACATTGCGTTTAGTTATCATATCTTCAGTCTCTTTTAATCTGAAAGATTTTCTCAGTCTTTATCTATTTTGAACATAATACCTTTGAAGAGTATAGGTCAGTTATTTTATAGACTGCTCCTCATTTTGGGAATGTCTGATGTTTTCTCGTTATGAGATTCTCCTTATGTGTTTTTAGCAGAAGTATCACAGAAACAATTTTGTACCCATCTCAGAGTGCATCATATCAGTGAGTCCTTTTCCATAGAGGTACTTCACCTTAAGATATTTATTGATCATATGGGGAAACATCAACTCAGAAAGCTTTTTCTCTGGTTCTGTGTGTAAGCAATTTTTACATTCCTCCCTTATCTCAGGAATATATAGTACAGAAATTTTATGTATATTGAAAAAATAAAAGTGGTAAATTAATAATGAGCTATGATGTTTGAATTGTGAGCAGTAAGCATTTTTCGTTTCCTTTTCTAAAAGGGGAAGTCAATTTGAGAGTAGCCGGAGCGGGGCGGCTTATATTGGTGGGATTTGCTCGTTGCTGAAAGGAGGAGGCGTGAATGAAGTAGGTGTGAACATCTGTGCAATACAAAGTGGTATGATGGCTGAAACGTTTTCCTAACATTTAAGAGAGAATTTCTCAGTATCCCACACATTCCAGATAACAGATTGTTTTATTAACAGTCCATGTGGTTACTATGAATAACCAGAAGACAGAATAGGGACATAATGGAAGATAGTAGCTTATAATTCTTTCATGTTCTACTTAGAATAATTTTCAGGTTAAAATATTTAGAGATTATATAGCAAGAATTCTTACCTTTACCTTCATTGAAAATAAAGACCGGGGCCAGCAGGTGGCATGGTGATTAAGGCAGTGGGCTCCACATGGCTGACCACAGTTTGAGTCCCAGATCTGGTGACTTCAAACTCATGTTGGGCTCATGTTTGTGCATGTCCAAAATCCCAGGAGGAGAATAGAGGAGAAGGGATTGCAGTGTGGCCATCTCCCCTCAAGGGCGATTCTCACTTCCCCTTTGTCTCTCCCATGAGTGTACATGCTCTGTGGCAAAAACTTGAAAGAAAGAGAGAAAGAAAGAAAGAAAGAAAGAAAGAAAGAAAGAAAGAAAGAAAGAAAGAAAGAAAGAAAGAAAGAGGAAAGAAGTCCCTATTTAACACTTTGAATTATTTTTTTTTCAGAGTATTAAGTAATTCTTTGAAACATTATGTTGCCACCTAAGAATCCAGTTTAATATTTTCTTCTTTTCTCATGATTTGACATATTTTGGGAGAAGACAAACAGAGTAGATTTTGCAAAGAGTTCATTTTCCCTCTAAGGCACTAAATGTGACAGACGTGGTCTGAAAGATAAATACTTGAATCTTTGGGAAGCTACATATTGAAACAAATACCCTCAGTTCTTAAGTTCCTGTTGGCCAAAGGTCATCACTTTTTCCTGTTACTCATTCCATTTGTTTTCTGAAGCCACATTCATTTGGGGGGAATTGTAGGAGTGCAAGTGGACACATATGATGAACAGGTTCCAAGTAATCTTTACATATTCATTTTTATATTGCATTATCCAAAAGATTGGTTTAGTCACATATAGTATGACATTTTTTAAGATTGCCACTGGTGAAATTTATACTCTTAATCGGATTTCAATTTCTGAACCCAAAAGGTGATGATTCCCTGGCTTCTAGTCTTCTTTGTAAGACCTAATCAAAGATGAATTTCTTACATCTTTTTTCAAATGCACGTAAAGCAGAAGCTGTAATGTGTATAGCCTCCGCTAAACAAGTTCCTTAGAAAGTAGTTTAAATTATATTGTGACTTTTTTGGTGCCCTGTCAAATTAAAAACAATTTGCATTTACATATACTTTATTTTTGTTTGTTTTTCAGTTTGGGAAAACTGATCTAATGGCGGTTACGCTGGCCCAGTCATTAGCCCATAATATTGGTATTATCTCAGATAAAAGAAAGTTAGCAAGTGGTAAGTGTTAGTACATACCTGGTATAGTTATATTTAAAGAAGACTATTTATAAAATATTTTGGAGAATGAGATTCTTTGATTCAATTGCTTGATCAAAAGAATTTGCACAAAATATTGGTTTCAAAAGTAATCATAAGGAAATATTTACATTATAGATTAAAATTTCTCCATAGATAATAAATTCATAGCTGAATTTAACCTAAAAAGGGGGCAAAATGAGCTCATTTTGGTAAATTTTAATGGTCCAGTAGAGAATCCAGGGAATATAAGTTTCAGGCATATTCATTTATTATGGCTTATTTAAAACATCTTGAAGTAGAACTTCTCTGTCAGAATCAGGGTCAGGCCTGATAGAGGGCTTAATAAGATATGGACTTAGTAAAACATACTAAGTTAAGTGTCTATGAAGAATATCTTTTCACATGGAGGTAAAGTTACTTCACTATGTGTATTTAAATAATATTTATTTGGAATGACAATTGGATTATAATCTTATTTAATTATGTTAGTTATAAATGTGATTATTCATGGTAATAACTTACCATTTTATAGGGTGGCCATTAAATGCTAGATGATTATATTAAAAGATTCATTTAATCCTCAAGGTAGTCCTCCAAAGATAGCTATTTTTAGCACCATTTTACAGGTGAAGTGACTGGATATTAGAAGGATAATGTCTCCAGGATTATACATATATTAAATGACAAACCCAGATTCTGAGTCCAGGTGTTTCTGATTCTGAAGCCCTTCTGATTAACCACTATATTAATACTGTCTTCTAACCAGAAACCTTGGCACAGATACTTTTAAAATGGACAAAAAGTTATAATAATTCCTATAAAGGGTCTGGAAACTAGGATTCTGTAGTGCTATAAAGCTCTTCATTTTATTGGTATTTGATGGTCTTTTACTTAAGCCATTTTAAGTGAGTTGTATAAAACTATGGCCATTTGTTAAAATATCAGAAGATTGTTATTTTAGTAAAAATTATGCCATCTTGATAGGGCCTAAGTCTATCTTTGCTCTTATACATTGCATGAAAGGCTTTAAGTGTAAGGAGAATTCAAAACCATGTCTTACTTTTTAAAAGGTATTTAAGGAATAGAGTGCAATGTTTTAGAAACTAATGTAGCTGTGTTCACTTTATAAGAAGGCACATGTATTTATTTTCTTTTAGGTGAATGTAAATGCGAGGACACGTGGTCTGGATGCATAATGGGAGATACTGGGTGAGCCATTTCTATTTGAAAATAACCCACTCTTCCTGTCCCTGCTCTGCTCCTGTCTTTTTAGAAATAAGACACTTATCTGTTGAAGATATTTTATAGTTTAATCAACTGGACTAGGGAGAAATGGTCACAGATTGAAATTCTCCCTTTTTTTTTTATCTTTTTTTTTTTTTTTGGAGAGATTTTCACTGTAGGGCGCGTGCGCTCGCCAGACAGACAGAGAGAGACATAGAGACAGAAAGCGAGAAATCACCCCCCAGGGGGGATGGTCACACCGCAATCCCTTCTCCTCCATTCTCCTCTCGGGATCTTGGGCACTCACGCACACGCGCCCGGCGTGAGTTTTAAGCAACCGGGTCCGGGACACGAACCGCGGTCGACTACGTGGGAGGCCAGCGACATAGCCATTACGCTAACTGCTGGTTCCCTTGAAATACTCACTTTGTAAACTAAATAATGTGATTGAATATATAAGAGAAAATGAAATTTAAAAAAAGAAAGAAAATAAATAAGACAATGCGTGGAACTTCACTACAGGCATTTATGAGAAAATCAGAAGTAAATATTTTTAATGATCCTGTGTATAAAATATATATACACAAAATAACCTCTTACTGATGAAAGCAATTGGTGCCAGTTAAGTTAGTAGACCTCAGAAATGGTTTTCGCCTTGAATCTAGGCAAGAGAAGAGGAACAGCTTTGTTTTGGATGGCATACCTGCTAATTCCCTTTAATTTTATCTCCTTCAGATCTAATTAAATAGGTTGTAAATAGTAAGATGCCTGCAAGTTGACTCTCAAAAACAAAAACAAGATAACAGCCTGAATTTGTATCTTTCTCAGATTTCTGTGGTGTAAATACTCCCACAGGGGCTGATTTCAAGCCATCGCTGATGGCTTTATGATGCAACATCTCTGAACAAGATGTTAGGGAGAAAAGTCTACAATCTGCTTTTCCAAGAAAGGATCTCATTTTTATACAGTCTTACCCTTCATACACTGACATCTATTCTTGTCTTTTATTCTTTTTAAATTTATTTTATAAACCATTTCTTTGATTCCAAGCTTATTGCTACTGCCTTACTTTTTTTTAAAAAAAAGAATTATTTAACTTTGTTTATTTATTTTAAATTTGACCAGAGAGGACCAGAGAAAGAGGGAGAGAGAGGGAAAGTAAGAAATCAAGCCTCCAGGTCTAGTATTCAAACAGTAGTCAGCCATGTGGGAGTCTAGCGCTTTTAACCACTGTGCCACCTCTCGGCCCCATTACTGCCTTACTTTACACTCTGACTGTGTTGTATTATTATTAAGTAAGATTCCAAATAGGCACTTTTAGGCTCTATCTCTTCCCTCCTGAGCTCCACTTCATCATTAAATAGATGCCAACTATAAAACTGTGAATACTTGTATATCTACCACCCAGCTTTAAAAAAGTAAAACACTGGAACGAGCAGGTGGCATAGCGGTTAAGGCACTCAACTCCCACATGACTGACAGTGGTTTGAGTCCTGGACCCAGCAGCTTGAAAATCATGCCAGGTGTATGTATGCGCATGCCCAAAATCCCAAGAGGAGAATGGAGGAGAGAATGGAAGAGAAGGGGTTGTGGCATGGTCATCTTCGCTGGGGAATGATTTCTCACTTTCCCTCTCTCTGTCTCTCTTTGACGAGTGCACACACCCTATGGCAAAACAACAACAACAACAACAACAACAAAAAACCTTTTAAAAACAGAAAAAAGTAAAACACTGCCTACATGATTAAGTCTGCCTGTGTTTTTCTTAACTGATTCCCAGCCAAGATAACCATCAGTTTGGATTTGGTTCTGAAAGGTTCCTGCCGATAACCAGCCGATCCTCCTTGTCCAGGGAGTGCTACGGCGACCCCAGTCAACCACAAAAGTCAGTTCTTGATGCAAAATACAAGAGGCTTTATTTCTAGCGCACTAGGACTTCACTCCCGGTCATGCAAGACACGATGGCGAGTGAAGCCCCGAACAAAGGGGCATTCAGGTTATATAGACACAAGTCCGTGGAAAGAATGAGGAAGTAAGATAAGGAGCTTTCTGCAGGGAGCTAGCAAATTGCCCTGGGCTTCCACAACTTTAGCAGTTTATAATGAGAGCGACATTAGCTTTAGTACAGAAGCGAAAAAGGGAAAGGTTAAACTTTATAAAACAGGATAGGCACAGTTTAATTTTATTCTTACAGTTCATATCATTCACAGGACCTTCTTTATACTTTTACTGTATATACGTATAGTAGTCCTGTCATCCATGAAGGATACATTCCAAGATTCCCAGTGGATGCTTAGATTCTGGACAGTACCGAACACTACATATTCTATTTTCTTTTACATATATATCTATGATAAGGTTTAATTATCTATTAGGCACAGAATAAAATTAATGACAATAATAATATAGAACAATTATAATAGTATTTTATAAAAGAGTTATGGAAATACAGCCTCTCTCTTTAATTCAAAATACCATATTGTAGTGTACCCACATTTTCTTGACTGCAATTCATAGCAGGTTAACTGAAACTAAGGAAGGCAAAAATGGTGGTTAAGAGGGGACTACCGGAACCAGCAGTTGGCATAATGGCTATGTCGCTGAACGGCCATGTAGTTGACCTCGGTTCGAGTCCTAGACTCAGTGGCTTAAACTCACACAGGGCGCGTGTGCATGCATGCCCAAAATCCTGAGAGGAGAATGAAGGAAAAGGGATTGCATCATGGCCATCCCCCTGGGGGGTGATTTCTCTCTGTCTTTCTGGTGAGCACACACACTCTATAGCAAAAACCACTCAAAAAATAAAATAAAATAAAATAAAAAAGAGGGGTCTACCATATGTATTTTGGAATAAAGCCTAGCATTGCTTTGCCATAATAAATTGATAGATATGCTATTTATGAGGGGATTTCAAAAAGTTCATGGAAATAGACTTAAAGTACAAGTATTTTCATACAAAAATATGTTTAAAATCCATGCATAGTTTTTCATAATACCCATTTTCAATGAACTTTTTGAAGACTCCTCATACTTTCTTTTGTGACTTGTATTTTTGGATTGACATTATTTTTGGGAGATTTACCCATGCTTTTAACATGTAACTTTTGTTCATAAAAATGTTATTCTCAATGGGACCAGCAGTTAGCGTAATGGCTATGTCACTGGACTCCCACGTAGTCGACCGCAGTTCGTGTCCTGGACCCGGTGGCTTAAAACTCACTCCGGGCGCGTGTGCGTGCGTGCCCAAGATCCCGAGAGGAGAATGGAGGAGAAGGGATTGTGGAGTGGCCATCCCCCCTGGGTGGTGATTTCTCGCTTTCTGTCTCTCTGTCTCTCTCTGTCTGTCTGGTGAGCGCACGTGCCCTATAGCGAAAACCTCTCAAAAAAAAAATGTTATTCTCCTGCTCAGAACTTCTGTGTGTCTCCATTGTGTAAAGAATAAGGTTCTGACCTCTTTCCTTAATATTTAGATGTCCATAATCTCTCTTTATCCTCATTTGCAATCTCATTTTCAATTATTATCCATGATTAGTTTGCCTACCATAATTATACATGGGTTTTCAGCTGTTTCGGTTTGGTAACCATAATCCTTTATAGATTTTCAGCTGCTTATAAATTTGCTTATCATAATTGTACATGAATTTCCAATTTCTTTTTATGTCTTTAATATATTCTCTTCATCTCACTGCTTTTTCTTCTTTTCTGTATCTAACCACATTGTAATCCTTACATTACAATTTAATTCTGCATGTACTTATGCTTTTCCTCACCAATTAGTTGTAAATTTATATCACCATTTAATTCTATATGTACTTACTCTTTCTCTCACCAATTAGTTGTAAATTTACATCACCATTTAATTCTATATGTACTTACTCTTTCTCTCACCAATTAATTGTATATTTTTGAATTATTACATCTTATACTAATTTAGTTTCAGACCTGTTTTAGTCCATTGCTGTATTGTTAACAGAAATACCCAAGACTGGATGATTTATAAAGAAATAAAGGTCTTGGGGCCAGCAGGTAATGTGGTGGTTAAGAGGCTGAACTCCCATATGACTGACTGTGGTTTGAGTCCCAGACCTGGCAACTAGCTTTCTCATTTTTTCTCTCTCTCTTTCACATGGTTAGTGCATGTACCCTAAAGAGAATTAAAAAAAAATAAAGAAGAAAAATAAAATATATAATTCATTTTTAAAAATGAGAGAGAGAGAGAGAGAGAAAGAAATAGTGATTTCCTCAGCTTATGGTTTGGAGATTCCGGGGCCAACTTTTGGTTAAGCTACAACTTGGTGGAGGCTAGGATCTAGAGAAGAGCTGTCTGTATTTCTCTCTCTGGTCTCCTTTCCTCCTATTAACCTAACAGAACTCAATCACTGGGATTCTTCCCTAATGACCTAATCATATCACAGCCCCACCCTAGGACACCATGAAGAGATTAAGTTTTCACTTGACACCTTTACAGAACAGCCAAGTCCCAACACATGAAATTTTGAGGTACATCCAAACTATAGCAAGATCTCATACCATAATCCTTTGTACAGACTTGATTTTCAATTAATATTTATGGATTACATTTTAATTTTGAATTCTCAGGATACATATGATAAGGAAAATAAATTATGGAGGAAATGTATGTACAAACAGGTATTTAAAATGTTTTTCAAAATAGTTCTTGGCTAAAATTTGTGTAGTAATGAGAGGAAATGATAAAAGTTCTGTTCTGTGGTTGCAATTTTCCAACAGTTACTAAATTTCATGCTAGATGTTCTTATTTTAAAAAGCTATTTAATATATCTGGTTATTCTGATTGACAATTAAAATTTTTTATCAACAATATACATTGTACTAGGCATAAGATTCAGTAAAATCAAATGGCTATCTTCAGCTATGTTTAGTTCTTTTGCATTGAAACTACTTTTATATTAGATAGATGCAAGAAAAAAAGTACTCTTTATATAAAACATTACCTGATATTATGCTATAATTTGGTCTATGCCAAATACCACCTAACAGCATCGATATGGATATATGTTTTCTGGGTACATCCCCTTCCATTTCTACCTTCTGAAGTTCTGCTGTACTGCCAGATGTTGGAAAGCATGTTGAAATGAATATTGTCAGTGTTGCTTAAAGGTCTAAAAATTAAAGTTTAAGCACACACTGGGCCAGCTGGTGGTGTGGTGGTTAAGGGGGCTATATCCCACAGTCTGTCAAACTGGATCCTGTGGCTGGATCCCACAGTCAAACTGGCTGGCTTCTCAGTTTGAGTTCCAGACCCAGCAGCTTGAAAAACACGCTGGGTGTGTGTGTATGTGTGCCCAAAATCCTGAGAGGAGAATGGAGAATGTGGCCCTGGGTGTACTTTCTCATTTTGTCTCTCATGCTCTCTCTGTTTATCTCTCTCTGACAAGTGAGCATGCCCAACAGCAAAATTAAAAATAAGAAAAAGAATCCGTTAAACACAATAGAAATGTTTACCCCGTAAAACGGAAGGTATGGGGGCAGAGGCAGGAGAAAGATGTGATGTCTGCCTTCAGGTGTTTGAAGGGCTATGTTATGTTAAAGGAAAATACTTCATACAGATGAGCACACAGAATGGTATGTGGAAATGATAAGAAATCAGGCTGGAAAAATAAAGGTTAGAGCAAACTGCAAATGTCAGCTGTTCGTATATTTTTACAAAGCTTCCTTTTGTGGGAGTGAATTTCCTATTCCTGCCAAGAATTGGAGAACAGACTGAGCTCCCACTCTGGTCTCCTTTCCTCCTATTAACCTAACAGAACTCAATCACTGGGATTCTTCCCTAATGACCTAATCATATCACAGCCCCACCCTAGGACACCATGAAGAGATTAAGTTTTCACTTGACACCTTTACAGAACAGCCAAGTCCCAACACATGAAATTTTGAGGTACATCCAAACTATAGCAAGATCTCATACCATAATCCTTTGTACAGACTTGATTTTCAATTAATATTTATGGATTACATTTTAATTTTGAATTCTCAGGATACATATGATAAGGAAAATAAATTATGGAGGAAATGTATGTACAAACAGGTATTTAAAATGTTTTTCAAAATAGTTCTTGGCTAAAATTTGTGTAGTAATGAGAGGAAATGATAAAAGTTCTGTTCTGTGGTTGCAATTTTCCAACAGTTACTAAATTTCATGCTAGATGTTCTTATTTTAAAAAGCTATTTAATATATCTGGTTATTCTGATTGACAATTAAAATTTTTTATCAACAATATACATTGTACTAGGCATAAGATTCAGTAAAATCAAATGGCTATCTTCAGCTATGTTTAGTTCTTTTGCATTGAAACTACTTTTATATTAGATAGATGCAAGAAAAAAAGTACTCTTTATATAAAACATTACCTGATATTATGCTATAATTTGGTCTATGCCAAATACCACCTAACAGCATCGATATGGATATATGTTTTCTGGGTACATCCCCTTCCATTTCTACCTTCTGAAGTTCTGCTGTACTGCCAGATGTTGGAAAGCATGTTGAAATGAATATTGTCAGTGTTGCTTAAAGGTCTAAAAATTAAAGTTTAAGCACACACTGGGCCAGCTGGTGGTGTGGTGGTTAAGGGGGCTATATCCCACAGTCTGTCAAACTGGATCCTGTGGCTGGATCCCACAGTCAAACTGGCTGGCTTCTCAGTTTGAGTTCCAGACCCAGCAGCTTGAAAAACACGCTGGGTGTGTGTGTATGTGTGCCCAAAATCCTGAGAGGAGAATGGAGAATGTGGCCCTGGGTGTACTTTCTCATTTTGTCTCTCATGCTCTCTCTGTTTATCTCTCTCTGACAAGTGAGCATGCCCAACAGCAAAATTAAAAATAAGAAAAAGAATCCGTTAAACACAATAGAAATGTTTACCCCGTAAAACGGAAGGTATGGGGGCAGAGGCAGGAGAAAGATGTGATGTCTGCCTTCAGGTGTTTGAAGGGCTATGTTATGTTAAAGGAAAATACTTCATACAGATGAGCACACAGAATGGTATGTGGAAATGATAAGAAATCAGGCTGGAAAAATAAAGGTTAGAGCAAACTGCAAATGTCAGCTGTTCGTATATTTTTACAAAGCTTCCTTTTGTGGGAGTGAATTTCCTATTCCTGCCAAGAATTGGAGAACAGACTGAGCTCCCAGCTGTACAGTGGGCAGGACCCCCAAGCTAGCCTGTGACCTTCAGGGTGCCTTACAGGGGGAAGCTCAATCAGACTTTTAACTTCTAAGGGTTCTACATAAGAGTAAATGACATTTTTACTTTGGCAATAGGGAGCCATTTAGGTTTTGATCAGTAGAATGATGAGGGATCTTGCAGAAAGCCCTGTTTAAATTTAGTAACTCTGACAGAGATTTGTGGATGGATTAGAGGGGAAGGTAACAACATTGGCTGGGATGTAGGCATTGAAAAAATAAAAGAAGTACTGTATGTAAAACTTCACATAAAGATAAACTTTATGTCTCAGGAAGAGGAATTGGAGGAAGTAGAGTAGTTCAGACAACTTAATTTGAAGACAGCTTCATGTGGAGAGTTTGGCATGAAACACTTAAAAATGAATTTAGGGTAAATAATCATTATCAGTTCCTTTAATGGATTCATGAAGCATTAACCACAGTGCTAGGAGGAAGTAGAAATAAATGGATGCAGTTTTTGCAGGCTAGAGGGAGAGACCGTATACAAAACTATTAATTGTTGTCTTGACTTTTCTCATTTTATAAAAGTTCAGCATAAGTAATTTTTGAAAAATGTAGAGGGCCAGCAGGTGGAGTGGTGGTTAAGGCACTGGATTCCCCCATGGCTAACCATGGTTTGAGTGTCAGATCCGGAAAGGCTTGAAAATTACACCAGGCGTTTGTGATGTGTGCCCAAATCCCGAGAGGAGACTGGAAGAGAAAGGATTGCAGTGTGGCCATCACCCCTGGGGAGGTGATTTCTCACTTTCCCTCTCATTGTCTCTTTCTGTTTCTCTCTAGCAAGTTTATATGCCCTATGGGGGGGGGGGGAAAGAAAAGGGAAAAAAAAAAAAAAAGAAAAGAAAAAAAAATATTTTAAGAGATTTTTGCCTTATTGTGCTTGAGCTTTCTGGAGGGGGAGAGACAGAAATAGTTAGAAGGAATGTGGGAAATCACCCCCCAAGGGGGGGGTGGCCAGCCGCAATCCCTCCCCCTTTATTCCCCTCATGAGATCTTGGGCATTCATGCACACACACCTGGCATGAGTTTCAAGCCAAAGTGGTATCAGCCATGTGGGTGTCCAGCAATGTAACTGCTGCACTGTCTGCTGGCCCCAAGACTGTACTTATATTTTTATCTGGATTTTTTTCCTCTTTTTGTTGTTTATAAAATTTGGGTCCTGCTGGATATATAATTGATTTTTTTACTAAGCACTGGGTAGTCAGGATTTTCCTGAGTCTAACTATCCTTTAACACTATGATTATTAATAACTACATGGTCCTCTATTTTACTAATATGTGTAACAGTATAGTTAACAGTTCCTTTACTACTGAACATTTAAGTTATTTTTGTATCTCTTTCTCTGCATGCTCCTCTTAGCAATAGAAAAAAATAAATTGTTCTAAAATCCTCCTTGATTTAAATCACAGGTACTGAATGTGAGTGTTTCTTTTGAACACACATACAAATAATAAACAATCCGCACTCACTATTAGTCACCAAATGAAGAATTTAGAAAAATATTGATTAAATAAAACTTACATATTGAACATAAATGTGTACATTAGTAGAAATTATTTTATTTTTAGGAATGGTGTACGATTTAAAAATGTTTAAATTCAAGTTTAGTAGGCAAATAAAGGAAAGTAAAGTAGTCCTGAGATATTTTCTTCTCTTTCATAGATATTACCTTCCTAAAAAGTTTACCCAGTGTAATATTGAAGAGTATCATGACTTCCTGAATAGTGGAGGTGGTGCTTGCCTTTTCAACAAACCATCTAAGGTAATAAGTGTGATCAAGACTTATTGATTATTCACCTCTCTACTGCTGCTGGGTCTTATAAAGAGAGTTTTTAAATTTAACCTGTATGTACACATTCTAGACATGCTATTTATACATTTTCAAAGTGAGCTTTAATATCTGGCATTTTGGGTTATTCTGATGGGCATAGAAAGCGGAGATAAGTTTTGCTTTCTGAAAAAATTTCATTTTCTTTGTATATGACCAAATATAACTCAGACTAAGTTTATAAAAATGTTTGGATTTTACCTTTCCTTTTTCTTTTCTTGAAGCATTTTTTTTCCTTTTGGACATCCAGTTACAACTCTGATGGAAAGTGGGGGCATATCTACTAACTGCCTTTTGGAAAGAGAGAGATGATTAAAATTACAAGTACAGTACTTCTCAATATGAAAGCCAAATCTTAGTACAGAGAAGAAGAAAGTTTTTCTGTACTTGAACTTTCTCTCAGGTTTTTACACCTTAAAGTGTCTTTTTGTTACTAACTCAAAAGCAGATTTTCTTCTTGCATTTTGAAGACTTTGCATATTAAAGAAGAGTGTTTTGTCTCCATAAATTATGTGAACTGTGACCTGCTTCTGTGCACCACAGTAATGTGTACATTGTCTTTGTAATCATTAATTTGTTTTCATTCTCTGTTTGTGCCAGTGAAATTTATGTAAAGTATCATATTCCATTGGAAAGCATATTGTCAGTTTTAAGACTTTCCAAAAGCTTTGGAAGGGATATTTGAACTAAATCACTGCTAACACAAATGTAAAATATTACAAGTTTTTTTTTTTACCACAATAATTGATTATTCTAAATCTAGAAAAAGAGGACTTTTTTTATCTGCCTAAGTTTCCATTTTTTCCCCATTTCTTATGAAACAGAAGATGTAAATGAAATATAGAGATGAATTGACTCTTGTAGAAAGGAAAGGGTGTTTGAAATCAAGTGAAGGTTTATGTTTTCTTTACATTTTTATCTTCTTTTCCCTCTAGTTTGTTATGAAAGTGTGTATGTTAATAGATGTTTATATACCTCCATTTTCCACATATTGTAAAAACTTCGATTAACTTTTTTGGGGGAGGGGTGAGGTTTTTTTTTTCTCCCCAAAGGGTGCATGCTCTTGCCAAAGAGAGAGACAGAGAGAGAAAGTGAGAAATCACCTCTCAAGGGGATGGCCATGTCACAATCCCTTCTCCTCCACTTTCCTCTTAGGATTTTGGGCACACCCACACATGCACATTATGTGACTTTCAAGTCACTGGGTCTGGTACTCAAATCTCAGTCAGCCATGTGGGAATCCAGCCGCCTTAACCACCATGCTACCTGCTGGCCCTAGAACATTTTGATTAACTCTTAAATAAGTATCATGTATCTGGCACATAGCCATGATTTACTATTAATTAATTATTTTCTAATTTTGCCAATCACAATAAGATAAATTGTGCTGAAAATAATGAAATTGACAGAGTTAAAAAAAATAACAGAATACACAGGGAATTCAAATGGGTTACCTGGAAAAAATGATTAACACAATTAAAAGATGGGAAAAAGAGCTAAAGAACTCTCTAAGGAAGACATGAACAGCCAAAAAGCATATGAAAAAATGCTCAATGTCCTGCTTCATAAGGGAGATGCAGGTCAAAACCACAATGAGGTACCATCTAACCCCAGTCAGAATGATGAAGATTAATAAAACAAAAGATGGTACTTGCCAGTGGAGATGTGGTGAAACGGAAACTCTCCTGCATTATTGGTGGGAATGTAAATTTGTCCAGTCACTGTGGAGAACAATATGGGAGTTCCTCAAAGATCTACAGATAGAGCTACCATATGATCCAGCAGTTCCACTTCTGAGTACCTACTCAAAGGACAAGAGAATGAATGCTGAGTCAGAATAGTGCTTGTACATCTATGTTTACTGTAACATTATAATGATTGCTAAGACATGGAACCAGCCCAAATGTCTACGAACAGAAGATTGGGTTGAAAAAGTGTGGCACATATACTCCATGGAATATTATTCAGCCATAAAGAAATCAAGACCCTGGCATTTGATACAAAGTGGACAAATATGGAAGGTTTATGCTGAGTGAAGTGAGTCAGGCTATAAAAGCAAGACATTATATGTGTATGTCTCCACTTAAGCTGTACTGACTGTCCACACTTGTTAGTAGAGACTGAAAGACTGGAGGACATAAAAGCTTTGAAAATAGTTATGGACTCA